AAATCAGAGGCAGCGGGGCTGGAAATCCTCTTTCTGAGCTGCGAGGGGGAGTTTTTTGATGAGGAGAAAATATATTTTCTTATTAAATTTTAAAGTGGGGACGATTGGGATGCGTGAAATAGGAGGCAGCATTTAAAAAGGAGAGGAAAATAGTGCTGCTGGGCACGGATCTTTGTCCCTCGGCCTCCCCTGGCAGAGCGGGGCTGGGTCGTGTCGGATGCTCTGGGAACACAGGCGCCTTGTTCGTGGCGGTAGAGCTTTAGCTGGCGAGCCCTTTCGCACAGACACAGCTTATATCATTTATTTATAGAAACAGATATATACTGCCCGACCGAAACAAGGCATGCTAATGCAAAAAAACTCTTTTTTTTTTTTTTTTTCCTTTTTTTTTTTGCAGTTGGTTGGCCTTGTTTGTTGGCCTGGAGTAGGATTTTGCTGCTCTTTGCTCCCCCTCCCATGGTTTTTACCCCACGCCGAGCGAGTTCTGCTGGCAAAACCTCTCAGTGTGCCTGGGCTGGGGCTGGGCGCAAGGATGGCCTCAGCTCTGGGTTTGGAGGCTGGGATTTGCCGTGGTGTTTGCATCATCGCAGCTAGCTCTGCTGGGGGATAATTTCTCCCCGTTGATGCGGCCGGAGGCATCCGAGCGAGGTGTGTTTGCATGGCCGTGCTGGCGGACGGGGCCGGAGTGCTTTGCCGCACCGGCTTCGCCGCTCAGTGCAACTCCCATGCAAACGCTGGGCCTTGTGCCGTCACCAGCGCTCTGCCTGCTCGCTCTCCCTTAGGAAATGGAGCCAGGAAGGGGTTTCCAGGCGGTGCTCCTCCTCCTCGAGCTGAACCGAAACGGCGCTGGCTGGCTTGTGCAGGCACGCAGCTCGCCAGCCGGTTCGGCCGAGGCGTCCGCAGTCCTTGGGTTTGGGGCTTTTCTGCAAAGGGGAAGGGCTGCTGCAGCGAGCTGCAGTAATCGTGGACGTGCTTGTTCCAGACCAAGGATGAGCAGGGCCTGCCTATTCCCCTCGGGAAGGGATCCCGCTGTCGCCGCGCTCCTGGCCGGCAGAGACGGCTTTGCCACGCCGTGCGGGAAAACCACAGGCGATGGGATTGCTGTGGCCCTTCAGAAAACCACTGCCAGCGCCCTGCGTTTCTCCTCTGCTCCTGCTTGACCTGCGGAAGCATCCAGCTCGCTCGGCGTACGGGAGGAAGGGATGGCGAGCCCTGGCGAGGGCCCTGGCGAAGCTGCTGCGGCGGCGGGGAGATGGCCAGACCCGGCTCTGGCCTGGACGTGCGACCTGTTTAGATGTTAATGCGGAGGGACGGCTGAGCGGAGCACAATGAGCACAAAACATGCGCATAATGGCTCAAGTTTTAATCCCCTGCTGCCGCCTGGAGCAGGGAAAACAATGCAGAGGGTTTCAAATGGCCCATCGAGCACCCTGGCAGAGTATTATTTTCTACCTGGTACTCCCAGAGAGCCTTTTCATGTGCTAGAAGCAAAGAAAAAAGGAAAGGGGGGAGGAAGGAAGGGCGGGCAGACAGACAGACAGACAGGCAGACAGAGCCCTTTCCAAGGCGTGTCAGCAGCAGGGCACAGGCTCTGCTTGGGGCAAGGCAGCATGCCTTCCTGAGAGACAGTAGATTTCAGTGGGAAAAATTAATAATTAAACTCTTGGAGTGCCTTAGAGTGACCGTTCTCCCCCCATCTGTCAGCGAGCCGATAGCCAGGCTTGGCGAGGGCCATCGAGCATCCCACCATGCCGCCTTCTCCGTGTGCGTTATCTGGGCCGTGCTGCAAAAGCCTCTGGGTGCGGGAGGAACCAAACTGTTTGGATTTCTGGCCGCGCCGCTCGCCGAGAGCACGGCAGTTACCTGCTGGCTGCTGCGGCAGGGCCGGGTCTCGCAGGAGAGAGGGGTCCTGCCGCAGCGGATCCCGCCGGAACCATCCGAGCAGGACAGCCCGGGCCTGGGCAGGGTGTGACCGGAGAGGGACGGAGCAGCCGAGCGTGGAGAGGTGAGCCCAGAGCTCGCCGAAAATGGAGGCGCAGGCTATGAGGAGGAGAGTATCGCAGAGCAGCCCCCGTGCCGAGGCAGCGTGTGATTCCAGCAGAAGCTGAATTTGTGCGGCTGGAGGGGTTGGAGGGAGCGGGTCGGAAGCGAATAGCCGGCGGGTCGGCTGTGAGCGTCGGCCGTCCAAGCAGAGCCCACGCTCCCATTAGGAGGCCGCAATACCTGCCCGCCTCCTTCCCTCAAAACCAGTACCGCTGGGCCGTTCTTTCCCACCTTGATAACAGCTGCTGGGAATATATATCCAGGGGTGTTGGGATCAATTGAAATCAAATCCGGGTTGAATCATGCCGCCCCTTTTGTCCCCTTGGCCTTGGGATGGGGCACAGCAGGAAGCGTGGCGGTGGGCTGCTCCGTGCAGACCAGCCCTCGTGGGATGGGTTATCGGCCCATCGCCCGCAGGAACCGTTTCAGCAGCAGCGTTTGCCGTTATTTTGGGGTATCCAAGCACGTTTGCATTCAATAAATTACAAAAATAATAAAAAAAAAAAAAGCCCAAAGTGCTGGAGCAAACTCTGCCGGAACCACGTCATCGTTGTCTCTTTTCTTTCCCTTAAATCCTGCAGCCACGGCTGCTTTTGGGTCCAGCCTTTGCAGCTGGAAATGCACAGGGGTGCTGCGAAAGCCGCTCTGGGCATCCCAAAACACCCCCTGACCCCAAGGCCTGTGGGGGGGCCGTGTCTGCCAGGGGCACGTCCGTTGCCGGAGCCCATGCCAAGGCGCCTGTGCCTTGAAAGCAAATAACCCCGGCCCTCCCACGTGGCCAGCGGCATTTGCTGCTTGACGTGGGGGGAGAGGAGACCCCAGGGAGGGGGCGGCCGTCACGCACCCAGCACCAGGGTGTTTCTCGCTGCAGACTTTGTTCCCGGAGTTGCTGAGCGCCTGGATTTTGTACGGGCAGCATTTTGCGCTTTGCTGCGCCGAGGCCTTAATTGCTCCAGCTCCTGCCAGCCGCTCCTCCAGCATCGCTTCCCTTTCTGAGTGTGTGCTAAAAATGTTTCTTTTGGGGGTGATCCTGTCCTTGTTTGGTCTGAACCAGGAGGTGCGAGCTCTTCTTTGGGAAGCCTGAAGCAAACGTCTCTCGCCCGTGCTCTCGGTAAATCAAGCGGAGCTGGACGTTTGGGAGAAGGCGACACCGTTGGCTAGCAGTAGCCCTGGAGAACAGCTGAACAAAGGGTGGCCCTCAACAAATGGAAGTTTGCCCCCGAGCAGGGAATGGGCCTCGCACCTCTCTGCCATCCGGCAGGATCTGTTGATGCCTCCGTGCCTCGTCTGGATGAAGGGAAGGGCTGACATGGAAGGACCCGGAGCGCCCGTTCCACTCTGCTGCTTGCGCTGGGTGGCCTCAGTTAGCTCTAGGTTTTAAGCTGGGGACAACTGGTCTTTAGGCCTCCCTTCCCTGCTCTTTTCCCACGTGCTTTCAGCCTGGCACCCATCAGAGGTTTTCTCCTTAGGTCCGAGTGGACATCGGGCTGCAGACAGCAGCCCCCCTGCTGGAAAAAGGGAAATTGAGCTCCCAGAGCTGGGAACCTCAGGTCTTGCGTGTGCGTTTCCCTCTGAGCAGGAGGAGCTCGGGGGATTTGGCATGGAGATGGTGGCTTATGAAACTCCCCAGACGCTGCCTTGCTTTGTCATGAGCTTACCTCCTCACTGCCTGCTCCTAACCGAGCTGTCGAAGCTTCAGCGGCCCCGTTAAGGTGAAGAAAGGGGGGAGCGATCAGCTCGGGCCTCTGGGTGCATCTGGGGTTTGACTCAGACCTTCCCCGCTTTGTGAGATCCTGAAGAATCCTAAAACCAGAGGCCCTGCACCTCTTGCCTTACCCCGTCCTTCAGAGGGGCTGGAGGGATGGTCAGCGCTCCCCGTCAGGTGATGTTTTCTCTCTCTAACGTCTCTCCCGTGTGGTTCTTGATGTGTTTCCAAGCCCCACAGCGTCCTCGGGGCGCCCTGATCTTACCAGAGGTGAAGCGCAGGGGTTCTCCCTCCCTTCCCCCTCTGCGGTGGGGATCCCGGTCCGGCCAAGCTTGGGGACCGCAGAGGCTGCCGCTTCAGCACATGCAGACCCCTCCCCTGTCCCAGAGC